CCAAGTATCCCACCCAAGCCCTGCCTCCCCCACCCCCAGCACCCACTGTCCTCAGGGACCCTGGCGTCCTGGCCTGGCACTCACAGGACACGTTGAGCTGGATGGTCCTCTCTGTGCTAACGTTAGCTCCGGGGAATCTCACTCGACAGGTGAGGTCGGTGCCGTGGTCCTGGGGCCACGGGGTGAGGGTGAGCACCGAGGAGAAGTGTGTCCTGTGGCCCAGGGAGGTGAGGGCATCCCCGATCCAGGAGAAGGTCGGCGGCGTCCCCCTCTTACAGGCCCAGGGCACGCTACAGGTAATCTTCTTGGGCTGGCCAGATTCTAGGGGCCCCTGGATGTGGATGTCAGGTGTCCGTGTGAGAGCTGAGGGAGAAAGAGAGACAGAGACCCAGGCCCTGCGTGTGCCCCCAGAAGCAGCCTCTACACCAGGCCAGCCGTTTCCTCCCAGCCAGGATTGAAATCAGGGGGTCCCCTCCCGGGCCTGCCCTGGGGCTCTCAGGACCCATGCATGTCCTCTCCTTGACCCCACTCCTTACCTGTCACACGCACAGAGAGCCGGTTCTGTAGGAAATTATATCTCACAGAAGGCCCTCTCTCCACCCTAAAGAAGTATGTCCCCGAGTCCCTTCTCCGTGCGTCTCTGATGTCCAGGGAGCAGTCGTAGTCCCGGGGGTTTCCAAGGAGGCGGAATCGACCCTGGGTCTCCTTCTGCACTTTTCGACCTGGGTTGTTTGTGGCCACTGGAGCATCCTGTGCTACATTGGCTCCTTCCCGGAACCAGTAGCCATGCACAGGGTAAGAGTCATTCCAGCTATTCAGGGGATAGAGGAAATTGCAGGGCACGGAGACGCACAGACCCTCCTGCACCACCAGTGACTCCAGAACCTGCAGCCAGTATCTCCTCTCCTGAGCCTGGGACCCTGCAGGGAATCGAGGGTCAGTAGCGGCCCCCGCCCTCGATTCCCAGAGTAGCCTGGCCCTCTCCCCTCTGCCCACTCACCTGCCCACAACAGGGGCAGCAGCAGAGGCAACAACATCTTAGAGACAGATGTCTGGGCTTCCTGTGGGTGAAGAAGGGAAGGCAGAGGGAGGCTGAGGGGGGCCCACGGGAAGCTGGGGAGGAGCACGAAGCCTCACGATTTCGCAAAAGGGGAACTGCCGCTGCGGAGCTCACCTCCCATCTGCAAGGTGCTGGTGACCCCCCGCACTCTCTCCTGGAGACCCCCACAGGAGAGACCAGGAGCAGAACGCTGTGTCCTGCCCCCCATCTCCACTCTTCCCTCCACCAACGGGGCCTGGACCAGGACCTCTGAGAGCATGTGAGGCATGGGACACGGTGAGTCTCCTAAGATCTTCCCATCTGAGGTGCTTGTCTGAGCAGTGCTGTCTACACCAGGGAGCTAGTCAACTGCTGTCTACACCTGGAGGGTCAGAGCCTCATCCAGACCCTCGAGTGGTCGGTCCTGCAAGGTGGAGGACTCTTGAGGTCTGTGAACATCCGGGGTAGAAGGAAAGAAGGGATGCTGGGTGAAGTGAAGGCAGGAACCATTCATTCATTCATCCATTCCCCAAATGCTTAGTGAACATCTGTGTTGGGGGAGCTGGAAACACGACAGATGAGCCTGACCAGGTCAATCCGGTGACAGGGTCCCCACCCGTACCACTTCCTCCCTAGACGATGGTGCTGTCCCCGTGGGGTGCGGAGCTGCAGGCATCTGTGACTTTGCTATGTGTCCTGGTGGCCTACTGGTTATTCTCTAAAAATCCAAGTGCAGGATTATTTTGGACTTGCGGTAAACAGGAACAACTCTTTTCAAGTTGCAGAACTTAAAGCGGTTCCCGTTAAGGAACCACCCCCCATTTCCCCCTCCCCCCAGCCCCGGAAACCACTGTTGTACTTCCTGTCTCCAGGAATTTGACTACTTGAGAGACCTCATATAAGTGGAATCATTTCAATCGGCCATAACGTCCTCAGGGTTCATCCGTGTGGCGGCATGTGTCAGAATTTCTGCCCTTTTTAAGGCTGAATAATATTCCATGATGGGTTAGAACACATTTCGTTCATCTGTTCAGCTGTTGAGGGACACTCGGGCTGCTTTTTACCTGGCTATCGTGAATAATACTGCTACGAACATGGGTGTGTAAATATCTCTTGGCCCCTGCTCTCGATCCTGCATATGCACCCAGAGGTGGGGCCACTGGATCATATGGTAATTCTAATACTAATTACACACACACACACACACACACACACACACACACA